GAAAATCCCAATGTGTGTCAACCTCCATGCTCCGTGGCAAGGCAGATTAGCAAAAATGCCCAACCTTTACTCACATTGGAGAAAACACTCCCAACAAGATTGCTTGCTCAAAAATCGAAGAGGAACCACTCTCTGAATCTCGAGAGCCAGACTCCCAACAGGATTACTTTCTCAAAAATCGAAGAGACACTGCTCTCCGAATCTCAAGAGTCAGACTCCCAGCAGGATTGCTTTCTCAAAAATCGAAGAGGCACCTTTCTCTGAATCTCGAGAGCCAGATCCCCGACAAGATTGCTTGTTCGAAAACTGAAGAGGTACCGCTCTCCGAACTTCGAGAGCCAGATTTCCTTGGATAAAGCTTGTCTGCAATCTTCACACACAACATCAGCTTTCCAGATACCACAAACCACTTTTTCAAAGCGCTCTGACAAAGTTAAAAATGGGAAGCTTGCAGCTCCCACTACATTACTATGACCAAGAAGAGTAAATGAATAACATTATTACTTGCTAAAAAATCGAAGAGGCACCGCCCTCCGAATCTCCAGAGCCAGACTCCCAACAGGATTACTTTCTCAAAAATTGAAGAGGCACCGCTCTCCGAATCTCAAGAGCCAGACTCCCAACATGATTGCTTTCTCAAAAATCTAAGAGGCATCGTTCTCCGAATCTCGAGAGCCAGATCCCCGACAGGATTGCTTGTTCGAAGACCGAAGAGGCATCGCTCTCCGAACTTCGAAAGCCAAATTTCCTTGGATAAAACTTGTTTGCAATCTTCATACGTAACATCAGCTTTCCAGATACCACATACCACTTTTTCAAAGTGCTCTAACAAAGTTAAAACACGTGAAGCTTGCAGCTCCCACTACATTGCTACGACCAAGAAGGGTAAAGGAATAGCATTACTACTTGTTGTTAGGGAGACTCCTATATATGTCGACCTTCATCCTCAACGGACAGGCAGACCTGCAAAAATGCTCAACCCTTCCTCATATCTAAAATGGCACTCCCAACGAAGCCTCTCAAAATACTCAGCTTTCTTCCCCCCCTAATAATACCTATGCAAACCAGCCACACCAGAGCAAGAGTATCTCATATCATCAGGGTCAAAAGCAAGAGTATCCCATATCATGCTTTTTCCCTGTCTTTTCCTTTGGCATTGTTCTTACCTGCAAGACAATGAGAAAGAGAGTCATCAGTCAGCACTTGGAATCAAACTTTCAGTCATGAATTGACTGCATGTAACCCATTGCCTGATTACTTACCTGGCATTGCTCTCGAGTACTCATTTTCAACATCTTATGCTTCCAGGAAAGATACCACATCTGCCTGAGGAACAGATAGGGCAAGTGAGAAGGATACAAGGAAGCATGTGGAGACAAGCGTAACAGAACACGTGCCGATTCATCTATTACTTCATCAACAGCAAAAGTATCACATATCATCAAGGTCGAACGCACTCTTGATTTGATGAACTTGTTTTGACCCTCAAATTCTTGAGTCGACCTTATACTTTGGAGGATACCAGAAAACCCTCCAGCACAGTTCAAGAATAAGCATGTGGAAAGTTACTTCTTCAAAAGCAAAAGTATCTCATATCATCTCTTCTCCATTTGCTTCTCCTTATCTTTGTTGCTGTTTACGACACAATGAGAAGAAGAACAATCAACCGGAAGCCGAAGTCGAACCTCCAATCCAGGTGGCTTGCTTGGAAGTCTGATTGTTTACCTTATATGTTACCTCTTTCGGCAAATCTCTTAGCTCGGCGACTTAGGGGACTCCTATTATAGGGTTTTGTATCGCACTTGACCAAGCCCGAAACTACAAGTAAGCTTCAAGTGAAATTGATACATTACCTTGTGCATCTTCATCGGTTAAAGATACCACCCCTGGATAGAGGAAAAGTACTTCTAGAGAAGATGCCACATCTACGTATAAGACAGATAAGGCAAGTGAAAATGATACCACATTTCAGTACTTAGAAGTTTCGTGATTACTCAATGGCTTGGATCTTGCAAGTCCCCAACCGAGGAGCTTCCCTCACTCGGGAACTTAGGGGAGCACTGTTTGTACCATACTTGACCAATCCCGAAACTACTGAGCACCGGTCAACGTTATACTGTCAAGGACCCAGAAGAGTTTCCCTCCAACCAGGAGGCCAATCACAGCGTGACACGTGTCGACATCAGAAGTCAATCATAGTGTGACACGTGTCAACGTCAGAAGCCAATCACAACACGACACGTGTCAATGTCAGAATGAAACTAGAAACTCTCTTCTATAAATAGAGATCATTCTCTCACAATATTTCCTAATGTCATTTGTACTAAATCATTCACTAGTACTCACTAAAGGAGAGCTTGAACCTATGTACTTGTGTAAACCCTTCACAATTAATGAGAACTCCTATACTCCGTGGACGTAGCCAATCTGGATAAACCATGTACATCTTGTGTTTGCTTCCCTGTCCCTATCCATTTACATATTTATCCACACTAGTGACCGAAGCAATCTAGCGAAGATCACAAAAAAAGGTTGTACCAAGTGCACAAGTCTCCCGCTTTACGCAGGGTCTGGGAGAGGTGAATGTCGGCTAGCCTTACCCCCATTTTATGGAGAGGCTGCTCCCAAGTCTCGAACCCGAGACCACAAACTTAACATTTTCTGTTGTACCAAAGTCCTCACTGATTTTGTGCATCAACAACCTTAATTCACACAACCTGAGTTTCAAACCAACCTAAGCACATATTCAAACCATTATGCAACAACAGCAACCAATGCAAACCATTAAGCACATTTCCATGATTTACTTACAATAGGTTTTCCAGTCACTAGTGCAGGTGAGTAGCCATGAAACTTTGAGTATTTGTCTAGTATCCATGCCATGGTCTGTTTAAACATAAAAAAAAACCGAAAAGATCGAGAAGAGAAAACTATTAAAATACAGTTCAAAGTTTTTCGGACATTCAAGCTGATCTACTTGATAACCAAATTCTGTTGTAATCAAATCTCTTGAACAAAATTAATGGAAAATGTGGCGTGCTCAACCTGTGGACCATCCCCATATCTGGTGCTGGAACATCGGTGTGGATTCCGATAAGATCGTGCATCTTTTGTGTGAAAACTCTGGTGAGTTGCTCTAGTTTGGAAAGACTCAACTCCCCTGGATTACATCATATACCCCATTTGGCACCCCCGTATGGGATGTTGGCTACCGCCGTCTTCCATGTCATCAGCTGCGCCAAAGCATTCACCACATCTGGATCAACCTACATTTTCCATAAAAGGATCGATAACAATTAAAGACAATTTCACGGCAGCGAGTCTTGATATATGACAACCATTCACATTTGTCGTAGAAGTGGAACTTAACAAAGTATGCATATACCCCTGGGTGATATCTGATTCCTCCCTTCATGGGGCCTCTAGCATTGTCATGTTGAACCCTGAAGCCAACAAATGAAGCCAAACTGCCATCGTCTTTTGGCATAGTACAATCAACCTGCACCAAAGTATATAGTTCAAAAGCAAAGAAAGGAGAAAACTCAATAACCACATTAGTTTTAGGGTCTGAAATCTACCTATAATTAAGAGTAAGGGATATACAAAAGGGAGATTATATGCAAAATTACCTTGATTTCCCTAAATGGTATAAGTAAACTTTTCTCAAGCTTGAAGTCCAATCCCAAAAGCTGAGCAGCAAACTTAAAGTTTCTGTTCGTTGCCACTAATGCATTCATCTTTGCTCCTTCTTCAAGTGCCTGCCTCAAAAGCTAAAACCAGCTACTTATCACCTCCAATATCGGATTCTGCAAAAGAACAAACCACATGCATAAGGATTTATACAGTTCTTTGCTTTACCTAAGGTTACTGGACCAGAAATAAAAAACGAAATCACAGTGCTTTACTTTGTAAGGTTTGATTTGTAGAGGACTGGAGGCTAGAGCTGGGTTTGGTTTTGGCTTGAGGCAGTGGGAGAGGAGTCGAAGGGGCAATAATTTGAAATTACAGTTCTAGAAATCAAAATATATTACGGAAAAATACAAATAATTTGTGAAGCAGAGCAGAAGTGGGATTTACCTCGATGCTATGTAGAGGGTTTGGAAGATGTCTTCCTTGTAGTGGTCCGTGCGACCAATTTGATAAAAAGTACTCTGAATCTCGTCAAACCCAGACAAACTTATATCAAACGTGTGCAGCAAAACGAGAGTAGTTTGAATTGATAAAAGATCTGTCTGTGTGAAAAAAATGAAATAACACATGAGAAGCATTAGCTTGAAAACGGAAAAAAGGGACATATATGTATATACCTGTTCCTCAACTTCATCTGATGGGCAAAGCTCATCAGGCAAACCTTCTAAGCCTGACTGAGTCTTTCATGAACCGCATGAAATCTAACCATGATTGCCTCGCTTTCATGAAGCGCATCAACAAATAAATTAATAATTCACGGTTCCGAATTTGAACATCTATTAATTTTCAAAGGGAAAAAGCCTAACCAGATCAATTTTGCTCCCTGGACAAAACACCCACAACCCACGTTTAAAAGGATAAAAAACCCTCCACAAATCAGATACCAGAAATAAGATTTCTTAAAATACGAAAAAATTTGGGATCGAAACACAACAATATCGAAGAAAAATAGTGAGAATAAGACACGAATCAGAGAAAGAAGTGAGATTTAATTACCTCTTGAAGGCTAGAGAATTTGGGTGCAGGATAAGGGGGCGAGAAGATCGTGAAGCAAAGATCGAAAAGATGAGGAAGCAGGGATCGAAGGGATCACGAAGCAGAGATGGAAGAGATCGATGTGGACTGTAGGACGCATGATCGAAGTCGCCAACCCGTTGCAGAGCAGCTGAGAATGTTAGCTTGTTTGGTATTGGATTTGAGTTCAAAGTTTTTAACTTAAAAACAATTTTTAAGTTTTAAGGTAAAAATACATGTTTGGTAGGCCCATTTTGCAAAACTGGACTTAAAAATTTTTAAAAACAGTTCATTATAATTTCAAAACAACAAAAGTTAGGTTTTAGTGTTTTTTTTTTCACGAGTTCAGTTCCTGTACCGCGATGGAGGTCTAAGCTGTGCTGCGCAGACCATGATCTAGCGTTGCGCCTCACCAACAACGAACTACCAAATATAAAGACGAATAGGTAATCCCTTTTTTTGAGTTTCTGGGTCTTTGAGACTGCAATTCCTCAATCCAATTCGAAGAGACCCATTTCACCTTGCATATTTGTGACTCGATTTCGGATTTAATTTTCTGTAACTCTCTCTCTCTTGTTTTCTGTATTATCTGTTTGTGTTGAATTGCATGAATGTTTGATTGTTTGTATAATTGGTCAATTTTGTGTTTTTATTGGTGGTTTTGGAGGTCTGTTGCAGCTGGGTTTATTGGGTTTCTTTAGAATTAGGCAACTATTGGGAAAATTGAGGGAAAATGTTGCAAAATTTCTTTAGAATTAGCCACCTTCGGTTCGAGGTATGGAAATCTCGAACTTGGAATCTACTTGGAGTGATGGGTTTATCTGGAATTTACTTGGAGGCCCTGCAATTTTTTTTTTCTCTTTCAATTTTGTTAAAAAAACGTATTGATATGATTTTTCTTGGTTTTCTGGATAATCCCATATCGAGAATTGTTCTTCATGAACCAAATATAATCCAGCCATATAAGCTAACTCCACTATTTTCCATTCACTGAAGGGAAATGTTGTCTTGTGTGTCACGTGAATTTCTCCTAATCCGGTCAGCATTTCCCTTGCATTCTCAAAGAATCCCCTGACCAAATGCTAATGAAACTTGAAAAATGCATGAATTTAGTCTAGAATTTGAGTCATAGGTTTACATTGTTGTGCTAGTGTTCTGCTTGCTATCGAAATTGAGTCATTCCAGTAGCTTTTCCACTGGTTTGTTTTGGGTGTTTCTTCCTTTTTTAAATTTTTTTGGGTGGTTGAAAACATAAGATCAACCATAGTACTGTTAATATTCATTAAGATATTAACAGCTTGCTGATTGAAGCACCAAACTGCAGGTTTGTACTTTGAAACCCAAATTCAGAACTGTCATAATTTTGTTTTCTTTTCTTTACCATTCTCTTGGATATCTGAATGAGTGGCCATGAGTTTTGGTTGTATTGACCAAAAAGTTTTTCAAAACTTTCCTCGTGCATTTATGTTCTGTGATCCAACCTTAGCGTCTTCTCTAATTTGGGGGTTCATTACCAATTCAAATTTTTTGGATTATGAGAATTTGTGGCATATCGTACTGAGAATCCTTCTTTCACGAGTGTACTTCCCCTGAACTGCTACTGTTTTTTATTTCTATATCCCTTATTCATTTTTATTATGTTGCAGATTATAAAGATGCCCACAGCTGTTATGGGGGAATGTAGGCTTTTTGGCCAGTTGCTTTAGTTTAGTTGGTGTATCTTCATGTCCTTAGCTTTTTGAATTGTAACCCCGCACCTTCAAATCTGAGCAAAAAGCCGGGATGCAACTCTTCAAAGACATTAGTGAGTGCTAGCTAGGACCAACTTTTGCATCTTTTACCGTTCCCTTGGTTCATTTATAATATGCTTCTGCGTATACGGTAGACTGAAATGTCTCACTCCATGATATTAACTCTTCATATTGTCTTGAATTACTTATGTGAAATTTAATGAATCCCTATATTTGAATGGCTAATAGTTTCTTTTTGGGAGCAGGTGTTTTGATTTACTTGTATAGCTTTGTAGTTTTGTGAGTGACATGAATTCTATTACACATGTTTGGTATTTGACTCTACAAGTTCATGCATTCTGAATTATTCATTTTTGGAGGTTACTGTGCCAAACTTCTGCCAGCATGTTATTAGTTTGTCTTACGCAATATAAACTGACACAAACTTTTCGATATTCACAGTCAATGTGGCTTGATTACGTCAATAACAATTAGTCTCAAAGTTTATTGGTTTTCTAGAATATTTTAATGTAATATTTATTATCTAAGACTTGAAGTTTAATTTGATTATCGAGCATATATATGTTGTATTTGCACATGGATATCAAAATAGTATGTTTAAGGTTTAATTTCATATGTTTTGTATATCTTAAAACAAATACATAATTGAAAAAAAAAAAAAAACTTTTTTCAAGAGTTAAACCAAACAAGTTTTCAAATTTTAGATTCAAAAATAGTTTTTAAGTTCAATGCCAAACAAGTTTTTGAAACCTAAAAAAAACTGTTTCTAAGAGATGATCCTGAAAATTAGTTTTAACAACAATTCAAGTTTTTGAGTAGGATACCAAACAGGCCCTTAGATTTCTAGCGTTTTCGGAAGACCAAAGAATACACACACCTATGCTTTCCGCTCTGTATCTCTCCCTGTCCATCTATCTCTCTAAAATGGGAGAAAATCCCATAGATCCTGGCAGAGCACCTACCTAAATATCTCTCACACTCAATCCAAACCCGTAGCTCCTATCTCTCTCCAATTTGTCAGGCCCTGTGTCTCCCTCCTCTGTAGTCGCTCTGTCCCCCTCTCTCCGCTATCCACAGGCACACCCAGCTGTCTCCGAGTCAAAAATAGGAGCGATCTTCTCTCTCCAATTTGTCAGCCGTGATGTCCCCCCTCTCTCTCGCTGAGTCAAAAGCTGAAATGCAGCGAACGGCTGAAGATAGGTCCTCAAGCCTGAGTGGCAATTTTGTAAATTAAGAGAAAGCTGGTTAAAAGCATCTGAGTGGCAATCTTGTAAATAAACTGAAATGTGGTTCAAAACACTGTTCATGTGTACAGTGCAATTGAAAAGCCTTCTTTAGACTAAAGTAATTTACACTTTCATTGAGTATAACATAAGATTTTGTGGTATCCACTTCTATAAATATTTTAAATTGACGATCAAATTAGTTCCTTGTATTCATATAGAATCAAGGAGTGTAAGTGTAAAAAATCATCAAAATCAGAGTTAAAATAGCCGTTAAATCGTGATTTTTCGTTTATAACCGTCGAAAAGTTTTGTCTCATTACTTGATCTCTGAATGTTTGTTTTTTGAGATTTTTGGCGTATGCGATCTCGAAGCATATACAAATAAGTTTAACGGTTGGATCGTTGAAATTAGTTTCGTACAATGCGTATCCCATGAAAATAATAGATTCACTAACACTTAGAGTTTATTTATACTTTCATTAAGTATAACATAAGAATTTGTGGTATTCACTAGTGTAAATATTTTAAATTGAAGATCGAGCTCATTCATTGTATTCATATAAGATCAAGGAGTGTAGCAATAAAAAATCATCAAAATCAAAGTTAAAATAACCGTTAAATCGTGATTTTTCTTTTATAACCGTCAAAAAGTTTTCTCTCCTTACATGATCTCTGAATGTTTGTTTTTTGCAATTTTTGGCGTATGCGATCTCGAAGCATATATAAACAAGTTTGACGGTTGGATCGTTAAAATTAGTTTCATAGAATGCGTATCCCATGAAAATGATTGATTCACTAACACTTAAAGTTTATTTATACTTTCATTAAGTATAACATAAGAATTTGTAGTATCCACTAGTGTAAATATTTTAAATTGAATATCGAGCTCATTCATTGTATTCATATAGGATCAAGGAGTGTAGCTATAAAAAATCATCAAAATCAGAGTTAAAATAACTGTTAAATCGTGATTTTTCGTTTATAACCATAAAAAAGTTTTGTCTCCTTACATGATCTCTGAATGTTTGTTTTTTGCAATTTTTGGCGTATGCGATCTCAAAACATATATAAACAAGTTTGACGATTGGATCGTTGAAATTAGTTTCGTAGAATGCGTATTCCATGAAAATGATAGATTCACTAACACTTAGAATTTATTTATACTTTCATTAAGTATAACATAAGAATTTGTGGTATCCAATAGTGTAATATATTTTAAATTGAAGATCGAGCTCATTCATTGTATTTATATAAGGTTAAGGAGTGTAGCTGTAAAAAATCATCAAAATCAGAGTTAAAATAACCGTTAAATCGTGATTTTTCATTTTATAACCGTCGAAAAGTTTTGTCTCGTTAATTTATCTTTGAATGTTTGTTTTTTGTGATTTTTTACTGATGCGATCTCGAAGCATATACAAACAAGTTTGACTGTTAGATCGTTGAAATTAATTTCGTAGAATTCGTATCCCATCAAGTTCAATGGTGTGTGTACATATATATATTAAGTAGATTTAAATTTATTTATTTTGTACGTATAACACTTAAGAAATTGAATGGTATGTATATTTAAGCCAATCCAATGGTCACCATTTTTTAAAATTTATTTTAATATATATAATTATTATAGTTTTTAGGGGTATAAAATTGTTAAATTAATATATATAATTATTATAGTATTTTAGGGTTATAAAATTATAAAATTAATATATATAAAATTATAGTATTTGAAATATTAGGCGGGAAATTTCTCGCTTGTTTTGCACGAGGACATGGATGGAGAAACTTAGTGTCGGTTTTAATTGACGCTAGTTTCATTAAAGCGACGCTATGTGAATTTCAAAAAGTGTGTCAGAAGTTGGCGTCGGTTTAAACCGACGCAAACTAAGTACCCATATTTAAACCCCTCTCTTTCCCATTTCATCCGTGCTTTCATTTCTCCCCTAATTTCAGACTTTCTTCTTTTGTTTCCCCATTTCATCTGTGCATCCCTTTCTTCCTCCTTTTTAGGTTTTCCTCTTCTCCTTCCCCATTTTCTATGGATCGCCATTTTGAAGATCAACATTCTGAGGAACTCCACTTCGACGAGGAAGAGCTCGAAGGTGGTTCATTTTACATTATTATGATTATTAATTTTAGTTTATGTTTTGTATTCTAACTAGTTTTATGCTTAAATTGAAAATTTATTTTTGTTTCTTGGTTTTTAATTGTTTTTTTCTATATTTATAAGGATCAACTCAACAGAGATACGGACCCTCAATTCCGAATTGGAAAGAATAGCCTTGTTCGTTTGATTCGTCTGGAAAATGCATTAGTTATAATTCTAGTGCGTTTTCGAAACATGTAGCGGCAGAGGTTAAAGATTACAAAAATATTTAGATGGTGGCATACTGGAATAAAGAAAAAACAATGGTAAACGCTCCATGATTTATTTTATTATACCTTGAAATTTGTCTAATAAATTCTTTTATTTTTTAGGAGATTGCCGAAAAAAATAAGCATAATCGGCAGTTGAAAACTATGAACCATACAACCGGTTCAAAATCTTTTGCAAGAGTTTGGGAAGAATTTGTATGAGTTGTACATTTTTAGGAATTGTAGTTAATTTTAAATTTAATATATAGTTGGTAGAAATTTTATTTTTAATATGAAGTTTGCTTAAAATTGTTTGTTTTTTCATTGACATATGGTGGGATTTATTTTTATATAATAATTTTTAATTATTATTATTTAAAAACGGAAAATGATTTTTTTTATTATTAATATATTTGGTGTCGCTTATGAACGACATCATAACGGTCAAAACTGATGGTAGTTTGGATATTTTATAATTAAATTGGTAATTAGCGTCGTTTTAAACCGACGTAATGTTGAAGTTTGCGTCGCTTTAAACCGACGTCAGTGTCAGTGTCGCTTTTAACCGACGCTGCGTACTGGCGGATTAAGCGTACAAATCAACATTGAAGCCCTTTCGTGACGCCAGCATTAGTGTCGCTATTCCAATCTAACATTACATTGTTTTATGTCGGATTTTTGCTAAATTTCCGACAGAAATTGGGTTTCTTGTCGGTTTTTGCTTCGCCACTGATAAGGTATATTGTAGTAGTGACATATCTGATAACAATAACAATTTCATTTTCTCCGACAAAAAGAGAGAACATTTTTCTATTGGTACAACTAAATGTCCAATGTACCAAATGGGTTTGAATTGCTAATCCATACACTAGAATTCCATATGTCATCAATCACATTTTATTCCAACTAATTTAAGGGAATGAAAGCTAATCACTTTGCAAATTCCATATGAAACATACCAAATGGGTTTAAATTGCTAATCCATACACTAGAATCCAAACCCAATCCAAATTCAATTGTGGTCCTCTGAACCCAAAATAACAACTATGAGGTGTAAGGCCAAGGTTAATATGGAATGTATGCATCCCCTAAAACCTACAATCAATTTTAATAAATATCAATGAAGTCAAAAGGTCGATAAAACATTTACCTTAATAAAAGAATTACGTTAGAATCCAGATCTTCCTTAATTTCTCTAATTGCTGCATTATTAATAATTGACGAGTGTTGCAATGAACCAGCGTACAACTGAATGTAACGGCGACAAAGTTGACAAAGATCTCGAATGCGGTCCCAAGAGGATCGGCAACTGATTCAAGAAAACAAGTGTGAAGTCAGAACCAACATGGGAAATTCATAAAAGTACATCGATTTGTAAAATACATCCAAAAGCATATGGTGAGAAGTTTCACCAAATATTTGAAAAGTAAATACAAACTTCAACTCAATTCTAGTATTTTTATTTATAAAATTTAAAGGAATATTGTAAAAATAAGAAGCTGACAAAAAAGCCTTGAATACCAGGCCGTAAACAGGCATACAAGCATAGACCATAAAAGAGTATATAGATACACTTTTATCTGTCAAGTGTAGTGTATATATATGTGTTACCACATTTTCTTCTGCTGCAGGGCAGCTTGAGCAGCATCACGCCACCACAAATACAGACCCTCTGATAGGGGCACCACATGTCTCAGATGGGAAACATCAACATAAGTCTTGTATCTTGAAACAACTTCTAATAGTTTTATATCCAATCATAATATTGCCCTGAAAAATCTAGTAGAAATGAGTTGTAGCACTCCAGCTGCATACCAAGAAAGTAGAAAAGGAACAAATTTTATGGGTTGTGGAAAAGAGAAAATTAACACCTCAACTTTCCTCAGAGAGCTGAGAGAAGCAATTTTACTCGATACTTGTATATTAGAGAGGGAGAAGAGAAGTAGAGATATTAGAAGAAAACATTTAGAGAGGGAGAAGAGAAGTAGATAGCAATAGGGGGATACTAAAATGTGAAAGAGATCCTCCAGCGAAATCTTATTGCATTTTCCTAACTCCTACCATGAATTAAAGTTATAATATGAATATTTGTTTGTCAATGGCAGAACAGGAGAGAGGATGAATCAAAATAATACAGGGAATAACATTGTGCACCTCAGTTACTGTCAAAGAAACATCAATTAGCACGAGGGAAGCCTTCTCAAACGGAACCTCTAGATCATTTCCTTCTTGATTTCCAATGCGGTGATATTTTAAAGGGACATTTTGGATGCGGTCCTTAGCTATCAATATTCTTTGATTGGAACCTTGTTAGTTTTTAGTTTTTTATTGAGGTCCCTGACATTAATGTAATAATGTAAGTTACTATATTTTTCAAATTAAAAATTAAAAATTAAAAATTGAAAATTGTAATTGTTTATATTAATGAGATTTTAAATAAAACCCATAATTTATGGGATTAAAAATAATAAAATATAAATTATACTCTCTATTATATTGTGTGTGTGTGTGTACATATATGTACATTAGCCAAAATTAACAAAAAAAGTTATTGTACCAAAACATGGATACATTCTCAAATCAACGAAAAAGAATGTACCCATATAAGTTTAAACATGGATTAAAAAATTTGAAAGGATTTTATATTAAAAAAAGGGTACATTTTACATATAACAAATTTTTGATATATTTGAGAATGGGTACATTTAAGATTAAAAAAATGTAAAAATTATATGAATGGGTACATTTAAGATTAAAAAATTGAGAATCTTTTTATATATAAAAAAAAACTAATAGGTACAAACTTAATTTAATTTAATTTTTTATTATTTTGGAAATGTTTGAATTGAAAATTAATTAGAAGTTTAATAGAGGTGTGAGTATTAAACCCTAAATTAATTACTAATTTTTATATTAAAAAATTATATAATAAACATGTAAATTCATTATCACATTAATGCTAGGGACTTGAATCAAAATTTGAGAACTAATAAGGTCTTAGTCAATGAACAGTAAGAACTAGGGACCGGATACTAATTTTTCCTATTTTAAAACTCCATTTCGTCCAGAGCTAGATACGAACAAAACGCGCACGTCCATAATTGTAAAATCCTTATTACATTTAAAATTGAAAGAACAAACCAAAAACTCAATGGCTGGCTCCCACTGGTTTCGTAGATTCAAAATCAATTTAAAACTCAATTATAGTTAAGTGCTTCCTAAAAACTCATATAGCCCTAAATTAATGCAAACATGCAACTACTTCAGATTAACTTAATTAGACAATTATTTTGAAAACTCATCAATCACAAAACTGGACGTTTTTATTTTGAAAAATCACTTACACTGGATGATAGCCCACGATGAGAGGATCATTTTTACCTCTTCAGTCGAGGTCCAATTCCGGAAGACTTGGTCAAAAATTGGCCAGAAAATCCGTGGTAAGAATCGTTTCTTAGATTTGAAATTGAGGAAATTCTGAAGGCATGATTTGACGGTCGTTGGTGATCGGTGAACAGCGGCGCTGTTGCGCCAAAGAGAAGAGGGAGAGAGGATGTGGGAGGGAGGAAGATGGCTGAGAACAAGGAGAGTTTATTTTTTGGGAAACTGAGAACAAGGAGAGTTTAAGAGTGAGAGAAAGCAAATAAAGGAGAGGCGGAGTAATTGAGGATTGAGGAGGGAGGGAGGGAGAGTGAGTGAGGCGTGTAGTAAAGAGCACAAATACACTCTCCTGTTTTTCTTTTTCGATGTGTCTTTTTGTTCAGAGGGCACATTTGAGTTAGTTTTGTGCTCAATGACATTTAAAAAGCACAAATATGTTTTTGTGTTGAATGAAAATGTAAAGAGCACAAATCAATTGTGTTCTTTTCTTAGCCCTTTTTTTTTGTAGTGGATGTATATGTCATCATGTATTGAGGAGTAGCTTGATGTAAACTAGAAGAATGGAGAGACGTTCAATGAAGGTTATTTGTTGTAGCATATCCCCAAAATTAAGGTTTTTTATTTTTCGGCTTGTTGGAGTTAACATAGCTTTAGAATGGCACTAGCAAAGGAGCCTGTGATGCTGCGGGTTTTAAAACTGTTAGGCATAACAAAAGCAGTTGGTGCAAAGTTGTAATGAATAGTTTGAAACGAATAGTTTCTTAACTTGTTCATGCTTCGGTAAATAATATTCATCAGCATATGTATAAACCAAACTAAATTTATTAATTTAAAAAATTATTTGCTTCCTCTGCCCAACCCAAATTAATTCATACAAAATTTGCACAACACAAATTAAGAGATCAAACCAAATCTACACAATTCAATAAGAGATCAAACCAAGCTAATATTTTCCTTTTGGAAAAAGCAGCATACTCTTGGGAGAAAAGTGAGGTAATTAGTAGTGTACCACTAATCAGACCCCTGTAAATCAGGTTGGCCTTAATTGATCAAACCGCACCTGCTTTTTGAAATTCTGAAATATCTATCAAAATGAAATTACACAAAATCAAATTTGAAAAACAAACCATACTAATTCAAATAAGAAATGCACACAGTTCCCAAATAAAGAGCATGGTTCAAGTTAGTGATTTGATTTAGGCACAGAATGCAATAGCAACCTATCTATTTATATAAATTAAAAATATTTAAATATACACTTCAATAATGTTTACAGTTATTCTCTACTGTAAGCAATTATTTTTGTTTAACGAAGTTCATTATTTTGTAAGCAATTATTTGTTTACAAATTCGAAAGCGATTTATTCACTTAAGTTCCTAATCAGAATAACATAAACATTCACATTAATAAAGAACTTGGAAAATGGTATGGACCTCCAACTGTTTACATCTTCTCATCTTGTCTAAAAATAAAACACCACATATGGGTTCTTCCATTGGATGAACACTTCATTTTCTATATTCTATTGGGTTCACTTTCTTTTCATTTTTTTTCATTTTTACCATACCAATCTGTGCATCAGTATGCCTTAACCTTTGACTCCCTATATGCACCTACTTTATTACCCTCTCTCTCTCCAGCTTTCCTTTTAAATAGGTTATCATAAACCCATGCTCACTCTCACCCAACAACAACAAAAAAACAGAGGAGAAAGGAAGACACCACATTTAATTAATTCATGATTCGGTTTAATTAGCTTTGATTGAACTGGAAAACCTAAATCCTAAGCTCTATATAACAACCTGCATTTAAACTGTCAAGTGATTTAAACTGCATTAGGCTAATTATTTTCAAATTTAAACTCACAACCATTTCAAAGAGTTGCAAGCATCACAATGCATAATTGAAATATTAAAAGAATAATAAATCTCTCCCCACCTAAAACAGTCAGATTCTCATTCTCATCCAAGGCCCCGATGACGTTTAAATACTCTATGGCGTTTTGCACCTGTAAAAGATATCAAGAGACAAAAGGTGAGTTGCAGATAAGAAGCAAAATTTACAAATAAGCACAACATCATTTCAGGAGGAACAATTTAGGGTCAGCCTTGAGCTTCACGTGTGCAGGGTGCAACTAAACCACCATATGCCTCTACGATAACAAACAGACATTAATAAGCATATGCACTGAATGCTAAGGAATTAGCAATCTTTAGCTCTAATCAGTTTAAGAAAGTAAAGCTACAATGAAAAGCAAATTACAACAATTCTCAATAAGCTTTCAGATCATTTTAGTTATGACAACTTAAATATTTCCATGTGATCTCAAATAATTGGAGAACCTCACATGATCCATCATCCATGTGATCTCACTTCTTTTTCAAATGGGTAGCCTCCAATCGATCTAATATCTACCGAGTAACACTCAAAGATCAATACTTTAAGCAAAAACATAAGGGGTTCCATTTATTTCCCAAATAAAATCAATGGTTTACATAGAAATTAGAAAAGCTGACCAGTGAGCAAAGAATTCGACTATGGCAGAGGAGGCAGGGGTGTCTCCAAGGACTGCATCGAAGCTGGTGGCGTTCAAATCGACGGCAAAGTCACAAGCTGATGTTCAAATTCCTGATTTTCTGTAATGGTATAATGATGTTTAAGTGAAAAGAATAAACATGGCTCATTCATATCTCTATCAGTACAATTAATTTGATTAAATCGTCCATAACTTTCTTACAATAAAGCTCTATATTTCTGTTTAACCGCACTAAAAAGCCTGTTTTTCACTCAAGAATCTTGTCAATCCATCTCACCAGTAATTTTTCGAAAAAATCACACACATTTTAATCTAACACCAACCAAGGAGTTGTCAAATCAGGAAAAATCAAAAAGAGAAAAAACTTACCCAAAAAATAACAGGACCGCCGGAACCGTCAGTAAATCTGAGACTGACCAAGCAAGGAACCAAAGCGCAAAATATCCTGTTAGCCAGGAAAACTCTAGCACAGGAACAGAGCCAACCCAAAACCAAACGGTTACAATTCCATCCAAAATTAATCAAAACACAGAATAACAATCAAAACACAGCAGTTAGAAAACACACCTCAGTTGTAGAAAATTAACTTCCCAGCGATGCAAAAACAACCGGTGCTCAAACGGAAAACAAAATCAGAAATAGATAGGACCAAAATCGGTGCAAATCAGACATAAACAAACGCAAAAAATCTCTTGTCTAGGCTTGGAAGCTACGAAATTGAAGAATCTATTCCTCATATTGATTCTACTTGATTTATCATTAGTAGGATCGCTAAATCATGAAATTATCCAAAAATCCTATATCGTAGAAAATTGAAAATTGCAGGTAATCAAAAGCTCAAGAATTTTACACAGAAGAACTAACTTTCAAATAATTAAATATATAATTACGGGAGAAACGATACCTGTGTATGGAGATGATCTTTCAAGTCCATAGGATATTTTGAGGTGTACTCAATTTATAATTTTAGCTAATAAGACAATATTATGTTCATTCTTCTATATTCGAGTACAAATCGTTCTATTTTCAGTTTTGTAAGAGATGATCTTTTACCGATTGTCAAAATGGTTCCAACCATAAATTAATATATCACTTACCTTTATTTGTTCTCTTAATTTATCAGGAATTTATTTGCATATGTGTGGTGTAGACAATTTTAACCAGTGAGTATTTAACTTTAATTGGAATTGATCTTTGTCTTACTTATGGCATATACAATGAAAATATGATATGTGTCCACCTTTCTTCTTTTCATTTGTCGTTATTTTTCATACATTTGTGTTGATATAGGGAAGCAATGTGATCGCTAACTTTGTGTCACATTTTTGTGTAGGATTTTTTTTTATTTGAGACGTGGATATAAAGAGATGGATTGTGTTTATCACTGTTCATCAACAGTGTTCCACCCGTTTGGGTTTTAGTATATATAGAATGTCAATTTTGGACCCACATAACATCTTTTGAGTTGATGTGCGGTCAAACTACAACTAACATCGTATTCATGCTATTTTTTCCACTTCACGCTATTCCATATCTTTACGGTCTGTGTTCTGCCACAAAATAAGAGGTGATTACTGTGATTTGTACTGAATTAAGGAAGTTTGAAAATTTCAAAAATTAAAAAAAAAAAAAAAGAAGAAAGAAAAAGCTGTATGTGGGAGTTGAGGAAATTAATCCCAAAATCTCATCATTTCACTCTGCATATTCGGTTTAATATCCTCCAAATATATACATAATGCTGCGTGACTAGGATGCCTGCTTCTTGTAATCGTATTTTTGATACTCTTGCGTATATGATGAAGAACTGTAGTGCGGAGTCAAAAGTGATTGAAATAGGTATTTATTCAAAACATATTTCATTCATCCTCATCAAATCCTCCCCACAAGGTAACCTCCAAATATTCATGCAAAATAGAATTAATTACCTAAATTAATTAATTGATTTTCTAATTAATTTCTTAATTGATTGCAACATATTATAATTACACCCTAAAACCACTAAATGTGGCCGGTTCCCACCTCTCCAAAGGGGGCCGGCCACACCCCTATAAATACTACTCCATTTCTCCAAAAACCTAGGTGGAATCCTCTTGCAAAATTCTTTAAATTCTCTAAACATTTTTCCCTCAAAATTCTAACTTTGGCATTGGAAGTTCTTCGGCCAAAGCCCCTCTCCCCAACTCATGGTAGGCGCGTGAGGCTCTTGGCTTTGACCTAAGGTGTTAATTGTTTTTGCAAGTGCATTTTTGTCTAAAAACAAGAATGAAGAAATTTGCATCCACATGTAGACTGTAGTCCATGTTTTTAAAATGAAAGCTTAATTTTATTGAGGAACCAACAAGCAACAAATTAACAAAAAGAATGAATATATCGAATACAGAGAGATCTATTACAGTGATATCCCAACAGGATTTATTCGAACACAAACAAATATTGAAAGACTGAAGTATATATGGTGGCCATTTGCCCCCATGCCCTCGAACTATCAATAATTTATTATAATTTACATTTCCAAACAGTATAATTTAAAGAATTACGACTTGTTATCGTCTTAGGGTAACAATCAATCAGTAAGTACTTTCAGCATTCCCGTTGGTTGACCCTGCTTGGCGACTCCTCTTCTCTTTCGAGAGTAGTTTAGCAAACCTGAAAATTATAGTAAATTATATAGTTAATTAAGTTACAACTTCCCACTGATCATCATTTACATAAATAAATCTGCAAGTTTAACGATAAATGTTTTACCTTATAAGAGCCTCTGCATTTGTCTCATGATTAGAAGCCTCAAATTTACCGCTGTCCAAATTAACCCGAGAAACTTGTTGTTTCAATAGCCCTTCACCAACTTTCACAAGATTGGCCAAATTCTTCTTCGTGGCTATATCCACAGAAGATATGGTCCCATGAAGGGTATCATCCTACGTTTGGTATCAGAAATGATGTCAGTTTTGTGTGTTTAAATAACATTAGTCTAAAAAAGTTATACCAAAAAATCCATGGATAAAATGCATTTCGTATGCAACAAGTTCAGTACCTGAATTCTAAGATAGTTTTTTTCAGAATGAAGGGCTTGGAAAACTCCAGAAAGGTGAAGATCAACCATGTCAGCGCTTGCTTGACTGAAAACATCAATGATTGGGGTGGAGCCACCGCTGGTTAACCAATTCAACAGGCCCCATTTTGCTGCAGAACGTGCATGGTATTTCAGTTCAGCTTTTGATGAGCCAGTTCCTAATGATATCACTAGAAATCTCCCATAGTCCACAGGTTTCACGGGAAAGAGGACTGGATTCTCCTTCTTTATTTCGTTCGTCATTTCACAAACAGCAAGTAAAGTCTGCAAGACAAAAGTATTTTAAGTGTTTAAGTTATTCTAAACGCTAAGTTTACTTTTAAAAGCAATGGTGTAGATTGAGAGTCTCTGGCAATATATGTAACTCCTGCTCTAATATTATACATACTGGATTATTTGCAGCCACGCCGCCATCTATAAGGTTGAATTCTTTATCTCTGCCTGCAGCGTCCTTGGTTTTAAAATAATGAGCTGGAAGATAAGTTGGTGCTGCTGAGGTTGCAATCCATATGTCAGAGAGTAAGGCATTGTAGGATGGCTTCCTTTTCACCTGTCAATCAAATAATAAGCATATCATATTATATTACAACCATATAAGTAATTTGCTTAAATAATTTTTGGACATGAACAAATTTTACAGTGCTTCCACGTATAAATACTCTGGCATATACTAAAAAATCTTGAAATAGTGAATATATCAGAAAGAAGGTGAAGTACCCTATGGTTGGAGAAGACAGTTGGCTGGAGATTCTTGATGTCAAACGTGGGAATGACAACATTAGTCAATGTTTCATGTAGTTTTTTGTTGCCCATTTTTTCTCTGATCAAGCTATGCAGATATTTTCCATTGTATTTTGGTCCTGCTAGAGCTTTAATAATCTTTATCGTATAACGAAAAATTGGGCAACTGCAGTTTGAATCATTAGAGTAAAAATTATTATGAATAATCCAAAATATTAAAAATTATTTAAGTGGACATAATTAACATGTAATCAATTAAGCATGCATTACGTGTTCTGGGGGAAGATTTTAGGGCAGTGATGAAAGTAGAAGTCAATTATATCTTTGGCGGCGAATAGTGGGCGGTTATTCTCGTTTGGGGCTGCGAGCATAGCAGTCACAAGACCACCTGTGCTTGTTCCTGCAATCACATCAAAATAGTCGGCGATTCTTGCATCTTCACCATCCAGCTTCTGCAATACCATCAATGACATTAATCTGCTATTAGTACTTAATTATATTCATTTAATTAAAGTATTATTATAACATAGATGGTAAAGTACTTATATATATATATATATATATATATATATATATATATATATATATATATATATATATATATATATTGACAGACAGTCTTATATACCTGAAGTTCAGATTCAAGGAAAGCAAGAATGGTTGCCGGAATGAGGCCTCTTATTCCGCCCCCATCGATACTGAGAACTCTGACCATCTTTCCTAAGACTGGGGGGCGCCCTACGCTACCGCTTCTTTCCATCAGATGAGAGAGAGAGAGAGAGAGAGAGAGAGAGAGAGAGAGAGAGAGAGAGAGAGAGAGAGAGAGATAGAGATAGAGATAGATTTTTGAGTTATGCTTTGAGAGATGTAGTCTTCGTATTTATAGACTCGAACTTTCGTGCATGCGTGTTTCTGCATTGTAAATATGCAACCTCCCTGAATTGCCTAGCTCGTCCTTCAGAAATTAGGCGAATTAACTAATGTATAGCTATATTCAATCGACTCTTTAATTACAAAGGTCGGACTGACGATTATTCTAGTCTTTATAGATTGAGTAACCAAACGTAACACAACAATCCGGCAAGCTCCTATATACGATAAGAGAGATACTTGACTCCAGAAGAATTATAGAGAAATTTCCACAAAAATTACATCATAGCTAATTCAAGGAATTTTTGTTTATGATCGGAACTGTTTATATTATTTGACACCTTGTATAATAATCTCTATAAGGAATTTTTTTCTTCAGCCTCCCCCAGACTTGTGGTCAGGGGAGGCTGAAATGCCTCTGTGAGTCTTCCCGGCCCCCGAAAGAGGTGGATAACCATGGCTTGCCACCAGTTGTCCTCATTTTTTTTCAAAAAAAAAAACTATAATAAATAAATAGACAGTTCGTAATACTTTTCTTGATTCCGATCATCTGGCTTTATACATTTCGATGACTAGAATCTCCTACCAAATTTTATGGAGCCAATGTCCAGCTTGATGAGGCTCTTGCGTATGTTATATACTCCTGCATGCAACATTGACTTGTAAATGTTCATGTAGTGCCTCAAGGCTTATATATAGGGTAATATTAAGTAGACCAAATTTTTAAACCAAATTTATAAGCTAAATGGTGTGTCCCAATAGCAAAATAAGCACATTAATCAACACTTAAAAGTAATAATCCAATTATCAACAACCATATCATTTTATTTACAAAATTAAATTTCAAAATTTAGTCTCCCTGGCATCACCTTACCCTTGTATATATGCTCATGCATAAATGGGAATAACTATTATGGAGCAAAAAATAATCCAAAAAATCTTAGAGCTGACACATACATTTTTACCAACAAATGACAATAATGGTCTTATTCAATTGGTAAGGCCATATTTATTACGCGCGCAATTCAACCTTGTTGAAGACCTGAACTGCTCGCAAGTGTCTCTCTATCACAGTGGTGGAGATGAGTGTTGCTCTTGCACCACGGCGTAGGTTTGAATCATGTTGGCTCCCTAATCTAACATCTAATTTAACAAATCTATAGTTTGACAAAAAAAAAATATATTTGCTCACTACAATCTCATCAACCTCCCTGAGAAAAGTCAAACATATTAAAAATAAGATCAATCACCAAATCTTATCTTTAATTAAATGAAGACCGCTTCCTCAGACAAGTCTAAGTAAGGAATCACAACCAAATTCAATCAGGCCCAGATTCTACAAGATATTATTATTCAATATTATCTTCGTGATAATTCTTTCCTATCCAACATATGATACAACTTGGCCAATTAGACGATGACACGTGCATGGCAAACCCTACACATGCGGTGAGCCCTATGACCTATAAATACCTCAGTCTCCGCCAATTAATTGATAAGCAAGACAACGAATTTTTGTTATCACAACTATATATTTCATTTATTCAATGTCATGCAGCCGTGTTTCATTAATTCAGTTCAACAAACAGAAAAAGCGATTGAATTTATTCCATGCCATTGTCAACCAATTGGTCTTACATATGCCAGTAGGCAGTAGCCAATTCAACAATATCAGGTTGACACATAGGATAATATGTAGCTTTATCCAATAGGACTTCAAATTCTTCTTTTTAAAGAGTGAAGAATATTCATCTCTTAGCTTGTAAATAATTAGACTCTATCACGTGCCCTAAAAAACGAACCAAAACAGTCAGATGTTGGTTTTAAATCAAACTATTGAAATAAGCCAAACCCTAAATTCAATTCCGGGTTTGAAAAAAAGGAGCAAACGAATTATTCTGTTTCAATTGAAGGATACTTTTTTTTGGTAAAACAATTGAAGGATACTTTCATCTTCTTGTTTAATTATTTGGGGTTTTTTTTTAATTATTGAAAAAGACAGGTTTAAACTTACTATTGGTCTATATAAATTAGGGTGGATATGAAGGTGCTCCTTAGGGTGAGGACATATTCTCTCTTACACTCAAAACATAGTTCGAGTTGCGTCACCCGTCCAGTAAGTGTTAGTTGTGTATTTATTCTCATCTTACATAACAACAATACGTGGGATTGATGGACTTCGTATTCTTCTTCGAAATTGAAATCAAAATCCATATGACTTCTACATAACATAAAATAAATGAGTTACTTTCATTTTTGCCCTTTAACCTTAGAAGTTGCTCTAGCGACCTAAAAATCAAAGGGGAAGTGGTAGGCCAAGTCAAGCTCGACCAAATGCCCATGCACATTGTTCTAAAAATCGGCCTAGACGTTGGACAGTGGCCAACCGTCGAGATTAATGCATAATCGGAAGCAAAATCAGGATAGGGATTAGGCTGGCGCCGAGGCGGGCGACTAGGTGGCCTAGGTGGTCTGGGAATTTCAATATTTTCTGGTTTCGAACTTGAGAAAGGATGAATGCAGATCAACTGTGTTATGGTTTTTCTGGACTTCCTGAGCTTCTGGTTTGTGTTCTTGCAAAGAGGAAAAAGATGAGAGAAAATTAGTTTCTCTTTCTTCCTTCCTCGCCCACGTGACCACTCTCAAACTGTTTAAGTTAATATTATTATATTTTTTTGGTTTCTGTCCACTCAAGTTTGGACAGCTAGCATAAGCTGCTTGACTTTAAAAAAAAAAAAAAGTTGTTAGTCCATAGCATCAGGTGCTATTGATTTTTTCTCATTAAAAAAACATAGATTGTCAGGATGATGTTGCCCATCTTTATGCGTCCCAATGTTCCACTTTTCTTTTCATACCCACATATTTGACACTTTCATTTCTCTTTAAATTCAAAATAAATTATTATGATCTCTAAAAGATATTTTATAAATTAATACATACTTGTGATTATTTGAACTTCTATTTCATACCACCAAATTCACTAAGATACTAAAGATATATATTAAATTTACTTAAATCCGCCTAGTCCGCCTAGGCCTCAACTTACCGCCCGACTAACGTCTAGTGTCTTTTAAAACCTTGCCCGGGCAAGATATGCCCAACTTTCTACCTTTTATTTGATGCTCATGTTTTACGAGTGGAGTTCCCAAAGACAATTCCCTATGCAAGGTGAAAATTCTGACTTAGCAAAAGGCATAAACTTGGGCTTTATGAAAATAAAGAGAAAATTCTGACAAAAAAAAAAAGTAAAAACCAAGCGTAGCCGAGGCCCATCAGGCCCAGTTTACGAGCCCATACCGTTACTTGAGGCAGAGGTTCGCATATCCCCCAAGAAAATTCCTCTCTCCGTAGACCCTTGAGTTCCCCGTATAAATCGCCAAATTTCCTCCCGCCATGGAAAGCCTCCCTCCGCAACGCCACCACCTTCACTCCCCTCTTCTCCCTGTTTTCTTTTCTTTTCCCCCAAACTTAAAATAATCATTTCCCCACAATCCCCAAATTCCCAATTCCCCAAATGTTGCTCCGCCTCTGTTACACAACCCGCCGCTACTGCCACCACCTCTTCCCCCACCACCGCCGTCATCACAATCGCGCCCGTTTATTTTCCTCATCCGCTTCCAGAAACCCCAACGAGCCCCTCAGCAATCTCAAGAATTCCAATCAAGTCCAGCATCCTCCTTCTGTTCTCCACCGCCGCTTAAACCCTCTATATCCTATCCCTCTCGCTTCCTCTCTCCCTTGCACCGCCGCCATCGCGCTCTCCGGCACTCTCGCCTCCGCCCTGATCGTCTCGTACGTCTTCGTTTCGACGGACTCCGACGACAAGTCGTCAAATTCTCTATATGACGGCGTACGACACGCCGTCCTCAATTCCACCGAGTCGTTTAGGAAGCTCCTCCACCACGCCAAACAGACCGGCGTCGCCGCCTCCGTTTTGTGGCACTCTCTCAGCTCCGTCTTGTCCTCTGCCAACCACGAGGTCCGCTCCGGCTTCGAGCTCCGGGTCGCCGCGCTCCTTGCCGATATCGCCGCCGCCAATGCCCGCCGAAGGTCCGCCCTTGTTGGGGCTGGAGGTGGCGTCGTTGTCGATTGGCTGCTCGAGTCGGTGGCGGTCCCAAGAGATGGCTGTGGGACCCAGGCCGAGTCGGCTAGAGCTCTCGCCTTCTTGATCGCCGATCCTAATGTGTCCGCCGCCGTGCTCGGCAGGCCCGGCGCCGTTCCCAATCTCTTAAAGTTCATTTTCTCCTGCCAGCCTCAGTCGTCTAAGAAGGTGAGATTTCTCCATTCTTCTCTTGAATTTCGTTAAATTCTTCAAATTAGGAAAATTTTGTGCCTTTAGCATTTGCGCATTGAGTTCGTTTTTCGTTATGAACGTTGGCGTTGTCTTTCTATTGTGAACTCGGAGCACTAGAATAGTAACCGAGATCAACATGATAAAGACGATAACTTTCAATAGGGAAATGCTTTGAGGCAATTTCCAGTGAGTGAGTATCGGTAGGATCCTTTGAGCCCCATTTTAATTAAAATCACTCGAGCTTCATAACCGAGTTTGTTGATGCGTTTGGTTTTGTTTTAATATAATCAATGGAATTTCTGTCTGAGCAGCGTGCAAGACGCAGTTCACTCGATGTTTATGAAAACTTGAAAGGCAGGAGCATGCTTGTAGCTGCCATTATGGATATCGTCACAGCCAACTGTGATAGTTTAGGAAAAGTGTCCTTTAAGCCATCCCTGTCAGCGAATGCTGAAACACGGGATATAGCAGCTGCCATTCAAGTTATTGAAGATGGTGGCATGCGTTTGGACGAGTCACATGAAAATGATGACGAAGATGGGGACACTGGAATGAAGGGGATTGGTATTAAGGTTCTTGGGGGTACATCAGTTTTAGGCCTATCAAGAACAAATGGAGTTATGAAGCTGGGAAGTGTTGAAAC